TGCATCCGAGCTTCCTGGAGGGTCTCGTCGAGGACGGTGGGAATCGTCCCTGGTGGCCCCCTCTTGCCCGACTCACGGGCAGAGAGTTGCCACCGCCAGAGGCATGGACAATCACATGGGGCGTCCCAGAAAAGGCTTCGCTTTCGAGCGATCCAGAATGGGTGGTCTCCTCGATCGGCGGAAGCCAGCGGAATCAACAATTGCCCCTCCAAGAAACGGCATGTTTTTTTCGATCCAGGATTTCCTTACTCGGCCACATGGTGTGGCTGGCTTCCCTGAGATTGAGGTGGCAAGTCCTGGTGCTTGCACGCAGGCAGCGCCCAGAGGCAGTAGAGACCTGGCACCAGCGGGCACTCCACGGTACTCAGTCGAGGTCAAGACGCTAAAGTAAGGTCATCCTTGGTTGAAGTCGGGCGTGTCCCCCCACAGGCGGAGTTTGGACGACATGCAAGTATCCAACCAAAATCTTCCCACAGATGCAAAGATTTGCAGAAAGTCGCCCCCGGACTAGTTTCTGTTGCTACTGTTGAACAGGCCCCCTGCCGAGGGACAGGCCCGACTCCTCCTCCTCCTCCTCCTCCTCCTCCTCCTCCTCCTCCTCCTCCTCCTGATCCTTGGTCTCGGGAGGGGCTCCGGGCTCCCAGCCGCTCCTTCTTTCTCCGAGCCGGGGAGAGCCTCTTCGTGGCCGCGAGGCTCGCCGTGGCCGGAAAAGAAAACCCGTTGTTGCTTACTCGGTGCGCCCTGCATGAGGTCGGGCATGTCCCTCTACAGGAGAAGTATTCAAAAAAATCGTCTGGGGACGATTTTTCTTGGTATTTTGGGTGTCACCTGGCACCAGCGGGCACTCCACGGTACTCAGTCGAGGTCAAGACGCTAAAGTGAGGTCATCCCTGGTTGAAGTCGGGCGTGTCCCCCATACAGGCGGAGCTTGGACGACATAATAAAAGTATCCAACCAAAAGATTCCCACAGATGCAAAAATTTGCAGAAACGTCGCCCCCGGACTAGTTTCTGTTACTACTGTTGATCGGGGCGTGAATTACCTCCCCCGCTTTCGCTTCCAGGCAAAACCAAGCCATACCACGCGCCTCCTCGTCGAGCGGCCTGACCAGTACAGGCCGCAATTTGGCATCGTTTGGTATCTCTTGGAAGCGAGGGTGGTCAAAAGCGAGGTAGGTTTGTTTGCCCCCTAGTTGAACAGGCCTCCTGCAGAGGGACAGGCCCGACTCGATCCTTGGTCTCGGGAGGGGCTCCGGGCTCCCAGCCGCTCCTTCTTTCTCCGAGTCGGGGAGAGCCTCTTCGTGGCCGCGAGGCTCGCCCCGTGGCCGGAAAAGAACACCCTCTGTTTCGTACTCGGTGCGCCCTGCATTGGGTCGGGCATGTCCCTCTCTACAGGAGGAGTATTCAAGGAAATCGTCTGGGGACGATTCTTCTTGGTATTTTGGGTGTCTGTCTCATTTTTTGTGTCTTTTGGGGTATGTTGGTGCATGTCTTATCTTTGGGACCAGAATTAAGTATTTGGGGGCACTTTCGGTGCATGTTTTATTTTTCGTCCTAGATCCGCCTGTAGGAGGACATGCCCGACCGAAGCCTTGCAGTAGAGCGATGACTGTAGCCTGGGGGGCCTGGGGCGGTCTCGACACCTTCTCCGGACTGCTTCCAGCGGTGCTCCGCGCCAAATGGGCTGGGTTTTGAGACCCCTCCCCAGGCCACAGCTGCCGCGAGAGTCATGAACAACCCTACTCCAACTCCCCTATCAATCGTTCCCTGGGTCCGGTTTTTGTTTCTGCCCACGTATTTCGGAACCTCGCAAGGGAGGGGGGGGAGGGGGGAGTTCCGCTGGCGCATCGAACCGCAGAAAGACGATGCCAAACGAGGTCTCCTGCCGCCGCGGGACCCCGAGAGGCATCGACGGTCGGGGCTTCGCGGGGGACACCGTTTTTCCGAAGCTCGATGCGCCGGCGGATCGACCTCCCCCCCCCCCCCCCTCAGGGTCCTCCCCCCTGCGGTGGGCCCCCGGGTAGTCCCGACCAGCGTGTAAGTTTGACCCCTCCGCCAGCGTGGCCGATGGTGCGGGCCCACAGGGGGTGCCCCCTGGCAAAGGGGCGCGCGCGCTTGGACCGTGCCTGCCCGCGGCCCCCACAGAGCCGCGCACCGAGGGTCGCTCCTGCATTGGGTCACCCTTGCGCGTAGCCTCGAGTCGGGCCTGTCCCTCCTGCAGGGGGAATAGGCAAGAATAGCAACACAAATGACCTGGGGGGGCGATGTTTGACCATGCTTGAGCAGTTTTTGGGGGGTATTGTTGGTGTATTTTTGATTTTTCAACCAAAATCGGCCTGTAGGGGGACGCCCGACTTAAACGTAGCCGACACAGCTCTGGAAGGGGTACCCACATGCTGTTTACCTCTAGGTGCCCTCCCTCCACTGGACGGCTGAGTGGGGTCTGCGAGAGGGCTCATGATCCAAGACCCCCGACGTCGTGACTTGTTCGGGACGTCGGC